CTGCCTCAATGCTACGTGGTCTTTGTTAACTCGGGTGATGACCGAGTTGGTATGATGTTCGATGAAGCTGAAGGTATCTAAGTTTTGCGAAGACCTCGTCAGTGTCCGCAACCCTCCTTCTTTCTCATCCGTGCTTTGAACCAGCAGAGGGGGAGTTACTTTAACATTCATACTTCATAGTAAGCAATCATTCTGCGGATGAAAATTAACAAAGCCTTACATAAATCTTTATGTACATCGCCTTTGCACAACACTGGGGTGTTTAGAATAGAATATCATTTCGGCTTTAGTAGGCTCCCCCCCCCATTGCAAGCAGGGAATTTCTCCAGACTTTGAACAGTTGCTTACATTTGGATTAATGATAAACAATCGTGTTAGAATAGTTGTGGATGGAGGTATCGGTTCTTGGCCTGCTTCGATAGCAATTAATGATTTTCGTTTGTCGATCCATGGTTCAAAACTGTACTTTGTATATTGCTTTGAATCATGTATCGGGAAACGTGAATCTTCAATCGTGTTTGATCACTCATGTTTCAGATGAGCAATTCCGCAACTAATCTCTAGCAATTGACGGTGATTGCGACAATGCCGCTCTTTGTTTGAAAGGACACGAGATGAATGCATGAGTTTAAACAGTCACAATGCTGACCTTACTTGTTCTTGATCATTCAGCTTGCACAAAGTTGAAATTTCTCCCTATTACATATTATCATTATCAAGTATAACATGAATCGTCATTCTGTAATCCCTACGAGTCATCATTCGTAGTTTAAGGAACAAGTAACATTGTAGAAAACATTCGTTATCAAATCTTTTTTAAGATAAGGATCGTACTCCTAATCCTACAGTCACTTTTCGGTACGGTTGCATTAATCAAGAGGTGGGGATGGATCTGATCCATTAGATGGAACTGCATTAAGACATAAAAGAAAAGATATTGACAAGAATTACGAGAACATCTTTAGCTGATCCATCATCGGTTCACAAACTTGTATGTGACTTTCACAGTAGCTCCTCGACAGTACTCTCTCTTTATGTACCCCATGCTTCTTCGCTGTGTGAATTCGCGACGAATCAAACAATAGAGAGCAAAAAAGCAGAAAAGAACGACTGTTTCCTTCATTTAGCTCCTAACTAAATTTTGCTGTATTAATTAATACTAGAAACCTTGAACAAGGAGTACAAGAGTAATAAAATAAACTAATTAGAAATTTTTTATCTGTCTGCCGAATATGTCCTTGTTCATCTTGTTTTCTTTGACACGTCACGATGTAATGTCTAATCAAACTTTGTGTACTGCTGTCAATCGTTTGTACGTGTGATTTCTTTGATCGCTTAAGAGTAAAAAAATTCATTTTGTTCATTCTTCAGGGTAACGTCTTCCTGTAGTCGAGTCACTGAACAACTCATGGTCTTTTGTCCAATTAGTGCATATACCATTTTCGCTGACTCTGCTTGCCACATCTGAATATCTCGTTTTGATGTGGTTTGCTGCTTTACATCCTAGAAGTTGAATATTAAATGCTCATGCCTGACTTTGGTCATCGCTCATTGTTTCATTTCCATTTGGCTCGGGTTTCCTAGAAGAATGTTATTCGATCTGTTTCCTTGGGTCGTACAGCATATGTTTATAATACGTAGTTTGTAGACTTGAAGCTTAGATCTACTGGTCATATCCTGAATTCTCCGTTAACCCTTTCGTCTTCTCAATATATGCTCTATACTAACACATTGCCTTTAAATTTAAAATTATGCTATCAGCAAACTCTAGTGTGATTCATAAACAGGCATGGATGCGTTTCTAAAAAAAAATATCATATTTCTTCATGATCAATTTCATGTCTGATGGTTTTGACAATGCAGTTGTTATAATCTGAAACATAACTAGAATTTTTAAAACTATGAATGTTTCGAACCACTGTTTTTGACTTTTGATTTTAGCTTATAAAAGAGTATAGTAGCATTAACTTAATGGCCCCAATGCTTGGCTGTCGTCCGGGGCTGCTACGTCGGCAGGTGCTGTGCGGAGAACTGAAATTGAGAGAAGGCTATACAAAAGTAAACGAAATAGTTTTGTGTGACCCAATCTATGTTTAGCGTTTTAGATGGACGTTGTCTGTTTTCTTCTTACGGACATGTTTCTCGTTTGCAAGGTAATGGGAAGAAAAGGCGAAAAGCCGAAGATGAGGGTCATTCGTCCACCATTTCACCTTGACTCTGTCATAATAAAGCAGACGAAAGATGCAAGTAAGTAGTAAGCTACGCCTCTGGATAAAGGTGTTAACTAGTTGAGGCGGGAGCGGCAGCAAGGCAGAATGACGTCATTCATTACTGTACCTCAGGTGTGCAAGTTCGAATCACAGCGCTGCGTACATACATTTTCCTATCAGCCGTTAATTCTCTTATGTGGAGAACTTATACAACTATGCTTCGGAACAGTCAGCTGAGGATCTGGTAAAAGTCAGTGACTTAACAACAAAGGTAGAAAGTTGCTCTGATATGTTCGTATCAGAAACTGTGAAATTTCTGACCATGAACTCTTGTTTGTGCACCGTACAACTGCCATTCGTTTTGACCTACTAAAGAGCTGATTAAATCAGAACAAGTATTATAGCCATTTGAGTAATTAAAATAGCTTAGACTTTCAAAATGACAGGGAAACGTGGCGTTGCCGCAGGTGGAAAACTAAAAATAAATTAAAATTAAAAGTAAAGTAGGTAAACTAATTATCATATAACAGATGACTGTTAATGATGCATAAAGCAAACAGTCTATTTTTAGATGGATTCATGTTCGTAAGCTTCAACGAATTTCGAGTACCTTCTTTCGCATGCATCTTTCTCACTAACTCCTTGGCGGAAACTTACAAATGGTTGGAAGCATTTAAATTTGCGAAGGTAAATTTTCGTCTTTGGCAATGCTTTGCAATGAGGGACTTTAAACTTTTAGGAGGAGTACACGCAACTGCGTAACTTCAACCAGGCGCAGCTGGGTCTGTCGCCGTTGCAAGAAAAATTCGGTGACCTTGGTGTTCAAGCGAATTGTCCCGTTCTGCACGGGAAACAGCCTGCGTCGACCGGCGGTTTCAAGGGTCAAAAGCCTTCCACGTCCAACGGACCAAGCCGCCGCATCAGCATGGGAGCGGTCGACAGACGCTCATCCGTGTCGACGGCGACTGACGTTAGTCACCGGAAGTCTAGCAGCATGGATAATTCTTTAGGACCGCTTGCGACGTTTGAATCTAGTTCAACCGAAGCGGAAATAACGACGGACTCTGCAACGCAGAGCATTGTTGTCAAACTCTTGAACTCTGAACCTCATTCTTCGTCTTGTCTTGATCAAAGTGCAGGGAACATGGGCAGACCGGACTACGGGGACCTGAAGTCGCTTACCTCTACTGTAGGTTCTACATTTGTGTTCAAGAAAAGCGCCATGGGCGACGCATGCAGAAATGACGCTTCAAACGATGCGAAGAGCATTATCCTTCCGGATTTATCATCCAGAGTTTTTGAACAGCACATGGACAGTAACGTCAGTCGATCGAATTTAGCATCGGTCGAAAATCCGGCAGGCCAGCCGCGGAATTTTGTCCTGAAGAAAGAACTGTCCCTCGTTGAACCCTTCGTCATGGAAGGCAATGCGGGTCACGAGAAATCCAGTCCTGCACCAGGAGAACTTCTTAATATTGACAATGACGCTACGGCAGTCGAATCAGGCGGTTCCCCCTGCAGTCGCAGACATGAGCGGCGGTATCATACCTCTGATGGAATCGAATCGCTGGAGCCACAACAGAACCTGCCCGGAATTTTGAAGCGCTTTTCTTGGAGCGTAGCCGCCAACTGCTCCAGCCTTCAGAAACCGAAGTTTGGAGCCCAGATCTGGCGCAAAGCCAGCTCTGGCACGATCAGTAGCGACTCCTGCTGTAGCTCTAGCGGGATTTCTAGTGGAAGCTCTCAGACGTGCATCAACAACAGCGAATGTGACTCAAACGATAGCAGTAGAACTTTCTGCAAATTAACTCAGGGAAACCAGCCGGTTTCGAGTGGCATCCAAAGCGTCGGGGAACAGTTCGCAGGTGACGTCAGCAAGACCCCGTTGCCTCCGACCGTTGAACAGAACGAGTCCTCCTTCCATGAGAAAAAGTTAATACCCACTGAAACAATCAGACCTGATTGTTCGGTGATCATTTCTGCTGACGACGATCCAACGCTGATCCCAAGCCAGAAGCGTCTTTCTGCCCGAGATGCGCCTGGATCACGGCAGTCAAAACCAGACCTCCTTGTCGAAATCCCTTTAGATAATGGCGCGCCTTCTGAACATAAGACCAGTTGTGAGAAACATGTGGCAAGCGGAAGTCCCTCGTCTTTCAGGTTGCAGCAAGGATACATGACCAAGGAACAATTTCTAAAAGCGGTCCTGGAAAGGAATATGAATATTTCATACATCTGAACCTTTGTATGATGATTTTCGCTGTGTTTATGAGTCTGCTTCTGCGCCATTGTGAATGGCAACTTTGGTTTAGGTTTGCACAGACAGAACAAAACGGTTCGACTATGAATGACACATCCATTCGGCCTTGTTTGTTTCCGTCCCATTCAAATTTCGCAATCTGTGATAGATAAGCATTTTATTTGCCGTTGGTTGGACATCTACCGCCTTTTGTTCACTTGCATTTCATGTGATAATACTTTATCGTACCTTTCACCTTCTCGGTCTGAATTCTACGTGATAGCGCCTCTTGAACATTGATCTGGCTTACTATTACAAAAAACATCAGAAGATTACATACAACAGATTTTGATACAAATATGGTCACAATCAGATTTGCGAGATCATATGTGAAGCTTAAATGAGAGACTGAATCTCGTTTATATGCTATTTGTTGATGAAGAGGGGAGTAATTCAATATCCGCATCACATATGTAAGGTGGATTCCGTCGAACAACAATCGCTACCTACTTCTATGAATAAAACATGAGCATGAAAAATGTCCACTAGAGATGCTGCATTATCTATTCTTAGCAAATGGATTCTGTAATAACTGATTTTTTTGCAGTGACATAATAACAGATTCGTACTAACATCTAAATGCCTCCCCCCCCCAAAAAAAAATAACAGAAACTTTAGCACCATCGATGCGACAGCTTTCAGGTTGACGTATACAGATATTTCGAAACGGTAATATCCAGCTGCAGATTAATTATGGCATGCGTCAGGGCAGAGGCAGCAATGATAAAATGCGAACGCAGGTTAGCCATCACCATATACACTTAACTAGCCCATGTTTCTCAGAAAGACCAACAAACTGACACAACAAATGCAGGTCTTGTTCTGCAAAGCCAGAAGGATTGTTTCGCGGAGAAAGTTGCTTGTTACTTTTACACCATAGTTGTTTAAGAACAGTGACTCAGTCTGTTAGTAGGTTGTTCTGCAAGTTAGAGTGCGGATTCAGCATAAACGCATCTGCTTGTTGCAAACTGCGAGTTTCCATGAGCAAAAGATTCGCTCGACTATGCTTCGGTCAATTAGTTTAAAAAATGTCCGGAAGCCTGGATGAACGGCATCATTGAATTTATTATGTCATAATAAAAATCGACTGTGCCAATCCTTTAGCCGAAAATAATGTTATAAAACGCGAATATTCTAAGTGGAATGGAAAATTTCAAGTACATGGGCTGCTGGCAATTACGTTCCAGCTGGCACCTACCTAAAATATTTCATCAGTTACCTAACTGAGTCCCATTTACAGCAGGTAGTCGAAACGTCGTCAATGTGTACACACCAAGGCCTTCAGTTGTCTGACGCATAAGAATGATGTTTCAAAAGCTGGTGATCCCTACTTGCTAGCCAAAAAACAAACATTTGTTGAAATCGTTGCGTACAATTCGACATACTCCTGTGTACGAACAAATTTTTATGTTTATGCCATTACATATGACGACTATGAGCTTCTGCAAAATAATTCGCAAAGAAAATTAAGCTGCTCTATCGAAGGAAAACGTCATAACATGCATCACATCATGGATGCGAATTCTATAAGAGGTGCAATAAAAACAATGCTCATTTATTGGCCTGACCCAGTGCTCGATTCTATTGACAAACTTTAAAGCAGTTACTTTGCATTGCACACAATCATCCCGCTAAAAAAACATTGCGGATGTTGTGTCTATATACTTGGAAGTCGGTTGATAACAATGACATTTGACAAAATATATCATCATACATCTCTTTCATGGCGCTATACACCACACTATTGCTCTTAGTTGCCTGGGAGGATTAAGGAATGTGAGGTGGAGATATCTAGGCAGTGTATATTTGTATATTATTGCAGTTATACTTGTACTCTGCAGTGCCAGATGAGTCTCATATCATTTTGTCCGCTAGGACAAGCACGTGCTTATCAGTAACGAAAGAACGTTGAAACACCAGGTAATATGGTTTAGTTCATCAAACGAAGTTTTAACAACGAATTTATATTTCCGATGCAATGCGATATTGATAATTTAGACCTGCACTGACGACTAACTGTAAATCGCGGTACGCATGGAACATTGTTTGCTGCTGAATTCTAGGCAGGTTAGACACATAGGTCACGAGTCTTTCCCACGTCGTCGGCCACCCAATCGCATCATAAAGATATTGACATATGAAATAAACCATTACAAAAATCTGCCTCTGAAGAAGTTTCTGTTCAAGCCTTAGAGCACATATTTCGAAAATGGCATAGATGCTTTTTGTAGACTGCGTTTCCCTGAAGATAAACATAGTGCTGTCCTTACAGCGGACGACACATACGCATGGTGTGATGTAACCAAATGAAACGAAGATCAAGAAAAATTAGGGATTTATTGTATTAAAATAATGGCAAGAAGCATAACTTAGCTAAATCTAATCCGCGTATTTCAAAAACACTATTTGTACACCGGAATGTGCTAACAATTGGCTAAATCCTCTAAAAATATCTCAGCGCATTGCCCCCTGATACGATGAAACCATATTTTTTTCATGCTTAGTCAGAACCACAAAGAGTATCCGCTCTGGAATCGACGTGCGTAATGAGCAAGCAATATTATAACGAATAAAATGATGTGAAGAACATTTAATACTACAGGTTGACGGTAAAGCCCTGAGCAGCTTATATAGTCTAAGAGGTGGTGCGTTGCCACACTTGTAAAATCAGACTTCTTCTAACCGGGTAAAAGCAGGGTTCGATTCTGATTAAAGGCAATCGATGTCTTATTCACGAATTCCCTTCAGCAAAGGATTTAACACACATTGCTTCAGACTTGGATTGCTCTTTCTATAGAAAATCGAGCTCAGAACTGAGAGGTCCAGAGTTCAAGCACCAGACGGCTATTCTCGCCCATCTTCCTTCCCAGATAGAAAAATAGGTAATACTCCGTGGGAAGGAAAGGAAGAAAACAGGAGACTATACTCTATGTTTGCCATATAGCTGTCGGGCTCTACGTTTAAAAAATAAGACATTTTTTGCCTGGTGGCATAAAAACGGAGATCAGCACCACACCATGAACTTCATGAAAAGCAATAGCGCCAAAATGTTCCAAATCACGAAAGTTAAGGAAGACTAACATGCCAACGGTGACTAATTTACATCTATTCCTACGCAATGGAAAGCTATTATATGCCCTGAAATTGCGATTTCTGAGCAAGTTAGGTCTGTGGGCATGCCTCTTGAAAAAGGAAACAAGCTTCGATGCAAACATGGTACACTTGCAAAATATTATCGATTTCTTAAATATTCAAGTTCAACCTAGTTATAATGCCTACAGTATAGCTTAGTCTCGAATCTCGTTTAAGTAGGTCTTTCGGAACAAAATTGATGGGTAGATTTGTTTATGTATCACAGGTTTTTTGAAAGAAATGCCAGAATCTGCAAAAAAAATATTATATTAGTATTTATTAAAGCTTTTTTGTTGCACTGCTTAAACTTGAAATTCGATGGTAATCCAATCTCATTTTTGAAGACATTTTGATGAAATCATATCTGCATTTAAACTAAAACTTTTGGATCTGATTTTTCCGTCTGTAATTTAAGCTGTGTAATAAAGTCGAGTATTATGTTCGCACTTTGGTAGTAGTACTTAAATACGGCAGAAAACGGTGTATTTAAAAAGTGCATTGCAATAGTTTAGTGATTAATCAGTACCGATATTTCCGTTCGTAGCTCACGGGCTTTCAACATAAGACTGACGTTTATTATTGTTTTATTATTGACAGCGAAGGGGTCAATATGTGACTTTTGGGGTTGATGATATGATAGGGTTGCTACTTGTTCTTGGTAGGAGGTGAATAGACAACGTTAAATTTCAGCGTTTAAGCTGAAAGCTATTTATTCGTAGCGTCCTACCCTTGATGTATTTCAGCGATATCAGCATTTGGTCTGTGTTGCGGACATTCGGTGATAAAATGGATTATACGTTGTCGATGTCGTTGTGTGTGTCTAACAGTTGATTCGCTCTGACAAGTAGTCTGTATTATGTTATTGATGTCTCTTGCAGTTGGCGTGCTCTAGCATAATGGGCAAAGGGTAGCAGGTTCCTCGAGGACATGCAACTCGAATATTTGGGGATGCAGACTCCTTTCAGGCTAACCTGACCTGCGCTTCAGGCATACGTTTCAAGAATAAATGCAGTTGCGATTTCATTGTGAATACTTTCGTCATTATAATGGGCTTTGTGTTAATGGCCTTTTATACTTCTTTGTAGTGTACTGTGGAACAACCGTCAATACAGAGGTGGGTCAGATGCTGACCCAAGTAAAACTAAAATGGTCCTTTGGCTAATCAACTCTCGTCCAAGTCATCATTTTGTATTGATTTGGATGAGCGCTTCATTGAAAACGATGTTTTACCGATATAGGGTGCCATCCATATTTGAACTCACGCAGACCTCTTTTCTTGATATATGGTTCAAAACAGTAGCTTCATGTAAAATCCTTTAACCTCGTGTCGTTTAATTACTTTGAATCTGTACTACTGTGGCAGTAAGATAATTTTTTGCCATTCTCAGTTTCCAATCTGACGACCCTCTTGATCATTTCGAAAATTGGAGATAATCATCTCGATTGCCCATACCGGAAATTTCGATTCGAGCTGGCCATCGAAGTCCTAAGGCTAAGCTTCCTTTCTGACTTGACCCTTAAGTCCTCGTGTGGTGTTTGTTAACATACCCTGGCAGTATCTTCTAAACTCTGTGGTCTTCCATTAAAGATTCTTTTTGTCAAACATTTTTGCCGCTCTATGCACAAAGCTTTTGTACAGCATTGTGTATCACCAGGAGTTATAAGGCTGTATCCTGTAGAAAATACGCATATCATGACTTTACATGTTTCGTTCAGAGCAACTGTATTCAGCAGTACTGATCAGAATTACTGTTACTACACTCGCTTGTACTTATTAGACAGTAGTTGTTTTGTACTATTTTATTTTAGTTACTGTTATTGATTTCCGTTACTCTCAGCATGTTTTGTTTTCTTTCAGCGCGATAAAAAGTCATCGGCGAAAACATCTGCTATCTCGAGATGAGCGGATATCTCTTCCAGCTTCCCGCGAGAAAATGTGGTACTTTTCTGTATGATACCGTGTTTCTCATTAGAGCTCATTAACTCACTTCGAGAACTGCATTTGACGCCGTGAACGAACGTTTCGTGGTTCGACACTTTGACAAATGGCGAAAGAAGTGCTAACCCTACAATTCGTGCCGTTCTGTTCGTTCATCGACCCTGCATTTTGGTACAGTCTGTCGAAGTTGAAGTTGGAGTCTTTGCGGCTCGACGAATCCCCTGTGCCAGCGTGGGGTTTCTTTGCGAATTGTACCGTATTCTTCTTCGTCACTTCTGTATTAATGACGTTTGTTTGTTTTAGCCGGAGCCGACGGCGTACCGTGTCGTTTAACGATCGACTTCAACGCCCTTAAGCTGGACAAATACCCCGGCTCGAACACTTTCATCAGCCATGGCACGGTTCACGTCCTGAATACCTTGGACAAGTTCAAAGAAATTGACAAGAACGCAATAATCGATTCTGTCGGGAAAATGGTGTGGGTCTTTTGATCTGTGTTTAAATTTTATAGCCTGCAACGTAATTAATTAAAAGTAAAACCAAAAAATTGGGTTGCACTAATGGCGCCCAAGAATTTCGATGCTGCTAACATCACTGTTGATGGTCCTCTGGCATGTAGCACTTATGCTGACAACACAGTCCTCCAGCGTCCCTGATGTTGATTGAGGAGCTGGAATAGTTACGGTTTTCCACTCTCTCGCGTTTCTTCAACTCAAGTAGCCCAATTCAAAATCCGGAGACGACTAAGGAGTTGATATGTATCATGCATGCACCAAAAGAAGAAATCTCCTTCACCTCTACTCTACTGCATTTGACATCGCTAGTCATCCGCTTTCATAGATACGACACATCAAATCCCTGGGCGTGATTCGTCGTTCCGACCTCTTCTAGCATGGCCACGTCCAGGCAGTGGCAAAGAGCTGCTACAAAGCCTGCTTTTACGCCAAAAGACCGATGAAGACTTCAGGTGCCGCGATAGGCAGTTAGAACTTCGTCTTTGCGTGTATCATTCCTCCTGTATACGTATGATACCACTGTTGCATTCCCCTGGTAGCTGCTGGGCGATTTCAAGGTCGCTAGAAAGTCATAGAATTTAGCTTGAAACTACATAGCATGCCATAAGGATATTTTCCAATGTTCGTAGCTGAATTTTCTCTCGTACAAGGTCACCCAATCCATCCACTGCGCGACAGTTTTGACCGATGTCATATACAAATATATTTGTCAGATCGTTCTACCTCTGTACTTCCTCTCTATCTGAACTATTCACAGTCCATTGTCGCAGCATCAGTGCGAATCCTCACTGGCTCATAGACTGCGCGTCAACACTATTGGATGCGCTCAATGTAACATGGTGTTGTATTCTTTTAGTTCTCACTCGGCTATGGTCTTAACTGCAATTTCTA